CGATGTATATATGTAATGATTGTTTTGCGATTTTTGAGTTAACTTAATTATATGGCTGTATCTTTTTGAATATAATTTAAATATTTGCTTATCGGAGGAACTTTTTGTTAATCTATATCGCCACAGAAGCGATCGTTTACGCTTACTACATTTTTTAATGCCCCTAGAGAGCCATTTTGGTCGCACTTCTGTCCTAAATTTCACTTTGACTATTGGAAAACATAGATCATAAAGTAATTTGAATAAATCATAGAACCTAGAGAAAGCCTCTTGTCCGTCCTGAGTATCGTAAACTTCTGCAAAAGGTAATTTAATTAGATATTTTCTAAATTTTTCGAGATACTCTTGACAATAGTTTCGTTTCATGCAGAACCAATAATTATATGTGCAGGTTTGCTTAACTGGGCATGTCATGAGTTGTGCTTTATGGTCCGAAACAGCTAATTCACAAAGTTCAGTTTTTCCACCGCGTATATTATGAATAACATTATCTAAACATGTTCCACTTCTGGGTCTTGTGGGCTCTTTAACTGATAATTTAAGATTATAGCTCTCGATCAGCTGGATAAACGAGGTGGTATATTTGGATTTTTTTAAAATATTTACATTAAAGTCTCCGCATACTATAATCTTGTTTTTGTTACTAGATATAATTAGGTTTAGAACATCATCGAAATGGTTCAAAAATGACTGAAAATTTCTTGTAACATCTTTACATTTCGGTACTCTATATACACACAGAATTACTATTTTATGGTCAATCAATTCTATCGCACAGCATTCAAAAACATTAGGTATATTTAACTTTATAATATTTGTGATAACTTCAAATTTTAGACCATTTCGAACTAATATGCAGGAACCACCATCTCTACTGTTACGTGTGTAGGACGCAGCAATAATAAAACCTGGTATTCGTAATAAACAGATATCATCAGGTACCATGTTATGTTCTGTAAAGCATAATATGTCTATACGTTTACCTATGTATTCCATATCATCCAAACAAACCGTCAATAAATCGGCTTTATTAATTAAGCCATCTATGTTCTGATGTAGGATTTTAATAGATTTATACACGAAAAAACTGATCATTAACAATGTTACCACTCTGTTTGTACGGTGTCTGGGATGGTTTTTCATATTCCACTTGTGGCTCCGAATTAACAAAGACAGTACTATCGGTTTGAGTGCAGACGTCATTAACCGTAACAGTTACAGATTTTGCGAGCATGTGTTGTTTATACCTTCTATGATTTGACATTCTCAATATTTCTCTAAGTACATTGCGACATAAATAGGTAGCATAATATTTACGTTTAGGCACATATCTGGCAAAATTCATATCAATAAAAACAGAATTTTCAAAATTATTGCAAATAAATCTTAGCTCCTGATTAAGTTTTGTTTCATTCAAATGTTTGTTATAAGGGGTTTCACACACTAGCACATTTGTATTTTTAATTGAATAGAGCCATGACGTGAACAGATATTTCACATCAAATGGGCTTGTATCGTTCTTGAAACCAATTACAATTACATAATCTTCATTTGTCAAAGTATTTATTTCTGATGTAAAAGACGAAATCACATTTACGACGTTGGCTCCAGGTTTGCAGAAACAGAAAACATTGTATTTGATTCCCAACAGTTCTTGTAGTATACGTTGAGTTCCAGTGCCTTGCTCATCGGCCAATATTATCACCCTATTTTTTTGTTGCTCGACCGGTCGTTCTTTATTGTTTATTGTGTTTGGTTTATCATTATCATTATAATTATTAACAATTTCATTATTACTTATTTTCTCCATTGTCTGTTGCTCTATGTCTTGTGAGTAATTTAACTTAGTAGTATGCAGGCTTTTACGTTTCTTTCGCGCCGATGAATGATTTTTTACGGTAGATGTACATATCTTTTTCATGTGCCTAATTTGATTCTCTTGTTTAGAATTTGTTTTTTTTTAAATTAAAATTTTCTGACAGTAAGTTCTCTATTTCCTGTTCAGCAGATGCTAAGTCTGACTGCAATTTAAGTATAATATCTTTCATTTCATCTGTGTTGTTAATATTCAGTTCTGGGCAACTTCGTTGTAATATGCAGTTATCATTTTTCTGTTCCTGCGATTCCCCACATGATTCATCACTTGATAAGATGCTAAACGTATTCTCAATTGGTATATTAACATGTACTTTGTCTCTGACGGTTACGAAGTTTTGCGGTGTTGAGGACTGAGGAGACTTAAAAGTTGGAGGGGGTGTGGTCATAGGCGGTGGTGTATGAAAATGGTCATCTTCCTTTTGACCGTGCAAAAGGCACGAGTTGCATTTCCAATTTGCCTTACTTCCCGCGCTCATTAAACAAAATAGCTTGGACGCGTTAGTACAATCAATATGATATTGACCCTTACACACTACGCAGCATAAACATTGCCTGTCATGTATATTTCTTTTGCATTTTGTGCACAACGTTTCCATTTTATACAGATTTTTCTTAATCAAAACTGTACTCCAAAATCTGAATAAGTCCCGTTTATTATTTATTTCAAAGGTGATTTTTTTTTTTGTAAATCCACGTCAAAAAATAAACAAAAAACAGATTCCTTATTTTTTTAAATAAAAAATAAAAAATAAAATGTTTGTGTATCACCCGGTCAGGATCGAACGCGCAACCTGGATACTAAAGGCAACCGCAACAGCCATTAGACCAATACGACGCTGGTCGGAGTGGTGAATTTAACCGTGTGTAGGAAGCGCTCTGAGTTTGGATTTCTTTTTATCACGTTTTAAACAGGGTCCAAAGTCCAATTTACCATTTCAAACGTTAAGTACCTACGTAACGGATAAATATTTTTAAAAACTTTAAAATAAACACTGTTTCACTTAATTAATCTTTGCAAATATATACTATTTCATTTAATATTAGCTGTTGTAATAATTTTGTCACAAAATTACACTGATTTTAAGTGTTTTTAAAGTGATACAGTCTTAACACTTTGATATATTATTTTGAGTTATTTACTATATAAAAAAGTTTACAAACACTTGCACATAATATTTACGTACACAATATTGTTTTTAACCAATTGTCTAAGATAATCAACCAATTTTAACAATTTTAAGCAAATCGAACGTAATTCGGATTGTTTACTTTACGGCGCCCTCTGGCGAACTGAAAACGAACGAAATGAGATGAGAACGAAAAATGGTCCAATGCCTATGTACAGTGTACGGTATTATTGCATCATTTTATACGTTTCCACTGCTGAACACAAGCCTCTATTGAGCTTGCCAACTCTCTCGTTTTATGCCACCCGCATCCAGCCCACTACCTTTCGGGTCGTCCATAGATCTTGCCGCGGGGTATCCTACACTATTTTGCTTTAACGTAATCGTATCATTATTACCAACCCAGTATTTGTTCCTCGGCTAGACATGGCTTAATATATTATGTAATTGCTGCGGAACAACGAAAGCCGATTTTTGTAACGAAATTGTACAGTCAAGAGCACGTCAAGCTTGACACTTTGGACCGCTCTTATCGTGAGCAGCAGAGTTGGATTTGAATCTTGCGTCAAGCTTGACGTGCTCTTGACCCTGTACATAATATCGTTTGTGTAACGTATGTGCAAACTAGATATGATACGGTAGCTGCGAGAATTCTCAAGACTGCCTGTTTTTTGGCTTATAATAATCTAGTTTGTGCGTTACACAATAGTCAAGGTTTACTAACCTATGGTCACAAAAATTCGCTGTTCCGTGGTAATGTAAGTTACGCACTTAGGTCGAAGTCGTTAAAACTCAAAACAAATATCTGCAACAAGCAGGTCCGCTGGTTCGATCCGTGGCTTATCGTCTAGCATGGTTTGCTAGAAGACGCTGGTTCGAATCCAGCTAGATCGAAGGAATATGTTATAACTAGTGGAGCAATTTCACAAAAAATAATTGAATATCATGGTGATGATATGTACGTAATTTAACCTTAGGCCATAGTTTCCCACACTGGTCCAGTGCGGATTTGGGAATTACACAAAGGGGTTGTACTTTGTCCACGGTATGCAGTTTTTATATAACGTTTTCTTTCACCGGTAGCGATATGTAATGTTATTAAACATTTAACGTAGAAACTTAAAATAGATGGATATGGTGCGTTACCTTAATTCACCTAGGTGCTGGGTGGCTTAAATCACCTGGGTTCACTAGATAAACATGAAGTAAACTGTATTCACCTCTATATTTTTGGATGCCAGGGTTCAACTCGTTACATGGTACAGATACGGTGATGAAAAACTTCGTGATGAAACCTGAACGTCGAAGAAGGTTCACAATGAAGTCCCCAAACCGCATTGGACTAGTATGGCGAGCTATGGCCTAAACCCTCGCATGAGAGGTGACTCTACTCAGCAATGGGCCGTACAAATAGGTTACAGTGTGATGAGTGTTCTGAGCATTGCACCCAGGTGATTCAAGTTTACTAAAAGTGTACTTAATGCACCTAGGTGAACTAATTCAGGTTAATTAAGTTAACGCACCCGAAAATATTTAACAGTTGATGTGATGACATAAAAACAAACACGTCTAGCGCATATGTTTATTTCAAAAGTTTTAACTTAAATGTAAAATAATACTTCTCAAATATAATAGGAATAAAACAGCTCTAAAATTATCACTTAAACAAGTCTCCACTCGCACCTGTATGACCTTGAAATACATAGTAACAACCAGTATGTTCAATATAACACACACACACTCAAGATAGCCCCGCACTAGGGAAACTCCTGTGTCGCGGGTGCCATGATCAACCACAAATTACACCCAACTCACGAGAGAAATAAATAAATGCAGGCCATACAAATATTTCTGCCGGTCCAGGAATCGAACTTGTGACCTCAGCGTGGCAGTCCGGCATGGCAACCGTTCGGTCACGGAGGCAGTTACTAACAGCCAGTGTCTTAAGGTTACAATCAGTATGTTCAATGTTTCAACCAGTATGTTTAATGTTACAATTAGTATGTTCAATGTTACAACTAGTATGTTCAATGTTACAACCAGCATGTTCAATGTTTCAATCAGTATGTTCAATGTTTCAACCAGTATGTTCAATGTTATAACAAGTATGTTCAATGTTACAACAAGTATGTACAATGTTACAACAAGTATGTTCAATGCAATAGCTAGTTTGACTAGTGTTGACTAGAAAGGTAACAGAAATACATAGATCGTTAGGAATTACTGTAAAGGTAAAGAAATATATAATACCTACGTATTAAACTATAATTATTTTATGAGATAATTTGTTTTCAAAATTAAAATTCGGTCTTCTTGTGATGATTAGAGAAAAAATAAAGTTTTGCAAAACTAACAAAAGAAAAACGTCACAAAGTAAACCTTTTGATATTGTAGAGCGTGAAGAAACATGTATCTATCTCCGATTACAAATTGTTTTGTCATCTGACGTCTCCATAATGTCTTGAAGTTTTTTTTTAAACAGCAGCGTGAAATGATTTTTTCATTTCTCACGTCTCAAAGATATTTCATTATAGCCTTGCGTAGCGGCAGATCGGCATTTTTTTTCTGATCACGGCAATTTATCAAATATTTTGAAAAACATTAACTTGCGCCGTTTCAACTAAGGGCCCAGACTGCTCCCGTGGAGATTTGGGAGAAATGGTTACAGATATCATTAAAATTGGAGATTTGGGAGAAATGGTTACAGATATCATTAAAATTGGAAATATTTCACATCGATGACTTTGCCGTCGACTTTTGAATGATGGAACAATTCTGAGAAACGTTAAGGAAATTTAATTATTTTCATTGTTTTCAGATATTCTATAGGTTTATACACCGCAAATTAAAATAAAAACTTTGCTTCAATTATTACTATTCCTGAAATTTTATCAATTTATTAGTAGACTAAATTTTATCTGCATTTCTAAATTTTATTAACAACTCTGATTTATATCAGGATCGAAGGACCATTAAAAAAGGATACTGACACAGCGCTCGGCGTCCCGGTGATACTTGAATTTTACCATGAAACAGCCTTTGCTTATGTTTTCTATGCATTGCACCTTTCCCACTTCCAACATCTTTGAATTTAAAATCTTCACTGTCACACCGTCTGGAAGCTGGAGTGATAATATCAGGAAGCTGATACTAAGAAACATTATGAGTCATGGTTTTTTAAAGAAGTTAAGTGAGATAAACCTTTCAATAAATTATTAATGAGAAATTGTCATAATGAACACTAGGCACCCATTGACTTACAAATAAATGGACGACGGGTCTAATACAAAAACCACGAAAAAAATTTCCCAAGTCAACCTATTTAAACGTAGTGACATGTAAAGGAACATGAAAAAGCTAAAACGTTGAATTTAAATTGTAATGTCATCGCAGTACTGTCTAATTTTGCTTGCTTCGCTGTCAGTCGAACAAACGAAGACTAAAGTGTGAATGACGCTCTGTATACGATTTTAACGCCCTATAAGTTCGGACACTTTTTAGCGCGGACCCGACGTCCATATATTTGTAAGTCAATGTAGGCACCTATAAGAAAAACAGAATTGGGCGAACTGAGTCATTGTCGTATCCTTTTTGCATAAGAATGCTCTAATAATGTAGCCACCACAAAATGAGGCAACGACAAGACTGTTCGGTTCAAGAAATGACAAGATCTAAACTCAGCTTTAAGCTTACAAGAACGGAATAAAGTTCAAATTGATAAGCTTGGTGTGCTCTTGTGCGTAAAATTGTTGTAAGGTTGTAATGAAAATTTTTGAGATTAAGGTACTTTCGGTTTAGGACTACGTTTTGAGCTGTACCTACTGTACCATGTTCTGAGAATGAGTAGGTATAAATACTCATAATATAAATACCTAAATGCAGACTGACTTTTTTAAGACATAAAATCGAGTCATCCGAAGAACAAAGTCCGATGTGATTATACAGCGAAAAGAGAATAAGTACGTTACGAGAATAATTTTCTTATTCCAACTAAGGTCTACGTAAAGGTGTTTTGAGGATTTATATATTTTGTTTCATTTCGGAAATATAAAATCGAGCAACGGTCGATCTGACATCCACAGCGAAGAAGAACGAACGAAATGTACTGTCCTGAGAGTAATCTAGCATATAGATCTTTGTTCTACGGATGAGTTGAAATATGACGAGATGATACGTCGTGCGCCTGGTGGTAAGCGACACGTACTTTGGATAATTTTCCAAAAAATTTGAAATAGTGGAAATTATTTCGGAAAAATTCCCGAAGAATTGGAAAAATATAATTTCGAAGGCTCTACGTTAGATATTTCTACGTCTAGAAATATCTTTTGAAGTTTTATTTAGCGTGAAATGTAAAATAAACTTGTTTAGCTTAAAGTCGCATAAAGATAAACGAGATTTAAAATGATTTCACAACAGCGAAAAAAAAAACCTTTTTAAGTGGGTCCATCATTTTCGTTCAGTAACTTCAACTTTTGACAGGTGTTAATATCAAATGTGGAAAATTAAAGGAAAGAAATTTATGTGAAAAATATGTTTTTTTCAAAATGGAATTTTTTCCAGAACCCAACACTAGCGACATGTGACAGTTGCAGTGCAATTGAAAGCTTTCAATTGCAAGGATATGAGGTATGTACATTGTACACTACCACTGCGTCCGCCATTATGAGACATAAAAAGTTGATAAGTTCAAAACCGGAAAGCAAGATACTGCTTACCGACAGAAATAGATATGGTGGCAGTACTTCCTTGAACGAATTTCGCTATTATATTTTATTTAATTTAATAAAAAATACTCACATCGTTGAAAATCACCGTGTCTAATTTATTAACATCCACTTGTCTATCAGAATCTCCAACTGAAATATTATTTAATAATGATTCATTATGTAGTAAGCAGGTAAGGCATAAGGGTGTGACACGCCGCACCAAATATCGCGACGCTTCACTATTTTCGGCCGTACCCGGTTTTGTAAGTGGCAGAATTGCTAATTTCAACTGTCCTTGTCGTTTCACAGTACGTGCAGAGGGCTGGCTTCTTTGCTTTCTCGCAGCTCGTTGCTAGGTTCCTCAGGACCCGCTGATAGCTAATAATAATGAAATGATAGCTCGGTGGCTATTTGTATCACTTTGTCTGGTTTTCCAAGTCGTGCAGTGAGGTTCTACTCCACCAATATTTAATATTAAATAATTAATTTACTCTAATATTATCAATTAGTAGACCCGCTTTCATTGCTATTAAAAAAGCCATAGCCGGTAGATCAAGTAGGTATGAGCTTGTTACAAATTGCTGTTAGACGTAGGTATACGGGTTGCCATATTTATAGTTTAAGGCTTGTTCTTACTGAAATAACTATTTATTATGTATCTAGCAAGTATCAATTGGCAAGGGTTGCACGGTATGGATACGAAAAATGCTGTTACTTATTTTTATTCGGTTCTACACAGATTAATTGAAGTTTATGTTGCATAGCGTAATGTCTGCTACGATAACAAACACCCAATTTGATTGCTGGATTGGTCATGATTAAATTAAAACGTGAAAAATTAAAGATTCATTCTCGGAGATATTACAGATACAATGTTACAATAATTAATTAACTGCCTCCGTAGCCGAACAGTTACTATGCTGGTCTGCCACGCATATTTGTATGGCCTACATTTATTTATCTGGTGAGTTTGGGTGTAATTTGTGGTTGTCTATGTGTGTCCATGGCAACTGCGATACTGCGTTTCTCTAGGACTATGAGTGTATGCAATTTTTTTTTCTATTTATTATTATTGTATAAAAAATTCAAGACGCTACGTGGGGACTCTTCTGCTAATGACAGCGAAACTATTGGTAATCTTTTTACGACCATTCCGTTATTCAGGCTAGCCAGCCAATCCCTTTGTCTGCCCTTGTCGAATCATATCATGTAGAATGTTTAATTAAATTCTCGAAAATACATAACAGATAGCCTAGTTGAAAAATATCCCGGACACGTTTTAGTTAATATGGGTGCATGTGTGGACGGTGTGCATCCTCTCTCTTTACATGTAAGTAATATTATATAATACGGTTCCCTTTGCTATTATATAAATTTCTGAAGGAAGTAATTTCCCTGATATATGAAAAACTTATCACACCCATTCCAAAGGGAGGCGATAAATATATGACCTACGAGAATACAGACCAATCTCTAAATTATGGTTAAGTAATTCTTGGCAAAATCTTCGAAGAGATTGTATTACATTTTACAGTATTGATAGTACAGTGTCCCGTCACAGCAACAATACCTATAACTTCTTACGAGGCAGATGTATTCATACTAATTTAGTGTTTTAAAATGATTTTCTTAACGCGCTTCATGTAGGCTATCAGGTGAACGCCGTATATATCGACTTTTCTAAAGCCTTCGACAAAACTTGTCACTCGACACTTATTAAAATACTATCAAATTTCGGTATACACGGCGACCTACTTCGCTGGTTAAGTTATTATATCTCTAATCGAAGTCAAGCCGTAGCTCTATAGGTTTAAAATTCTAGATTCAGAGATTAATACTTGTACAAGACTGTAACATGTTTTCCCAGATAAAAAAATATATATATTTACTGCAACAAGTAAATTTATTTACTTTTTGGTATATGACGGATTTCTAAACACCCCAAATTCAGTAATAATTCTGCTCCCCCGCATCCTCTTTTTTTCCCGATCTCTTTTTCTTTATCCTTACTTTCCGTCGTACTGTACTGCTTTGCAATTCCAAGCTCGTATTCATTTCTGTAAAGTATGTAAGATGATTCGAATCTTAAGATGAGTATGTGGAGTAACCAGAATGGATAAGTTACTTAAGAAGTTAAGCGAGAGTAGCGTCAGTCACCATTGACGAAAAGTTGCTAAGTAATTGTTTACCAAATAGTGGGATAAAGGCAGAAGGCTGCTCGCAGTTAAATTTGACCAATGCTTAAAGAAAATTAATGACCGGCCTAGAAGGGGTAGCGGTGTCAAATTTATCTACTGTCACCTACAGTATAATAGTTTTCATTTTATTATTAAGTAATATATGCTTACCACTTCTGGATATAGATGATAAGTTCGTGATTTGCGGCGCAGGAGGCGTTGGCGGCGAAGTTGGCATGGCAGGATTTTGATCTGACCCTAAGATATTTTGAGTAATTTGAGATGTACTTGGACCCGAGGATGGGTAGTTCCGTGAACATAATATATCGTTTTTGTTTGTATCAGATGTATTCGAATTTGGATAGACATTATACGCGTTTTGTGTTTTAATTTGACTCACGTCAGAGGGGTTTGTGTTCGGTGTGCTTTCATGTACATTTTGGTTAATGTTAGGAGGTATTTGATACATATTCTGATTAGCTGAAGGGTTTTGGTTGACATTTGTATTTACAATTTCTACAGGAGATTCCGAATTGCGCACAGGAGCATGTTGATCTATATTTGTGTTGCGCCTTTCTTCTGGTGTGTTTGTATTTTTCTGGTTCAAGTTACCCCTTAATGAATTCGTCCTGTACACAGGGGAATTTTGACTCATATTTGGCTTATTTTGTGCCACATTCAGCTGAGAAGTTTCTGGGTTTTGGCTTCCATTAGGAATGTTTCGAGAAATACTATGAGGTACGTGAGGTGGCACATTGTGAACGTTACTGCGAGCATTGTGACCCATGTTGAATCCAAATTGGTTTGAATTGAGCATGCTTCCAATCATATCAAATCTAACTACGTTATGACCATTTGGAATAAATGGTGCGTTATTGTTGGGCAGAATGATGTTTTGTGCTAAATTACGGTGATGTTGAAAATTGTACCGTGCAACATTCGGGTTACAATCTTGAGAACGACATGCCTCTCTGGAAGTGGATGGATGTTGGACAGACATGGTTGAAGAAGAATCTGGTAGTTGTTGGCCTAATTTACCTTTAGGTTTTTTTGCCGGTTCGGGACCTAAATTAGCATTTTGTGAGTTCTCATTTTGAGATTGAATTGGGTTAGAACTCGATCTCTTTTGAGAAACGTTTTCTTGTGTAATATTAGGAGTAACATTAGTGTTAACTAAATTGTTCTTTTGTAAAGTATTAATCAAATCTTTTAATGTATTAGCTAATTCTAATAACACACTTGGATGAGCTATCGCATTGGAGGTCGAAAGTGTGTTTTGCAGTTCAATGTTAGTGGTAGAAGTCGAGGGTGTATTTTGTTGTTCAGTATTAGCAATAATACTGGAATGGGCATTTTGCTGTTCAGTGTTAGCGATAGAGCTTGAATGTGCGTTTTGCTGTTCTATGTTAGCGGTAGAACTCGAAAGTGTACTTTGCTGTTCAATGTTAACAATAGTACCGTGAGTGAAAGAGTGTGAATGTGTATTTTGCTGTTCAGTGTTAGAATAGTCATTGGTCGACGGCGCGACGATGTCGGCTTCCTTGCGTATCTGAACTGGTTTGTCGAAATAGCTGTTATGAGAGTCCATGTGCACGTTTCTTAAAGCGAATTTAATGTCATGAAGTATATCTTTAACTGGCTGTAATTCCATCACAGCTCGGACGCCCCTCAAGGGCGCCCCATTTGGGCCTAATCCTGGGCCAACTGTCACCAAACCACGCGGTAACTTAAAGGTGTGAGCGTTTCTTTGGACTAGTTTTACACTAATTACCCTATCATAAATTTTTTGCTTGTCAAACATAGCAACAGCCTGAAATAAAGTATAATAGAATTAAATCTAAATTAAGTATAAGAGATGAGTGAATTCTATAAAATATATGCTGACAGAACTGCCTAAGTAGGTAACTTCTTCTTGGTATTTATACTAATAGCTTACGCCTACGTAAGCTATTAGTATAAATACCAAGAACAAGTTACGCCTACGTAAGCTATTAGTATAAATACCAAGAACAAGTTACGCCTACGTAAGTTATTAGTATAAATACCAAGAACAAGTTACGCCTACGTAAGCTATTAGTATAAATACCAAGAACAAGTTACCTACCCGAAATTAGTCATTTTGCACATTTTGGTACCTATACCAAAATGTGCAAAATGAATAGTTTCGTAGATAAAAGATGAAGGTTTCAAAGCCCAAAAGTAATTGTGGACGCCAACTATATGTACAATTTTTTTATTGTATTTATCGTAAGAGTGAAACAAGTCTGTCTGTCTTATTTATTCACATATATGCATAATAATAAATACCTGAACAGCCTCCACGGGATGGTCATATTCGATTTCTGCCGTGATGTCAGCCAGAGAAATCACTCGAAATGAGAAGAACTTGATTTGCCCGGCAATTGAAAATATTTGTCTGACAAGTTCGTCATCCACATACATGGATAACTGAAACGTAAAAAAAGTAATCATGTAATGTAATAATAGTCGTTACGATTACAGTAAAAAAGTAGTAGGTTGGCCAAAAAGTAAGTGCGGTATGTTATAAATGAAAAACAAAATATAATCTCAGCGCAGAATACTAAAAAAACCAACTTCAAAAGTGCGTGGAATTACATCTATTTGCCAAGTTTTATTGAAATCGGTTGCCGTAAAGTGCGCAAAAGGATTCATCCCCTAGTTTGCCACTCTTAGAGGTGGAATATTTCCTTCAAACTTAAATAGGACCACTACTGAGGTACCCACTTTCCAAAAAAAAAGAATCATCAAAATCTGTTCACAAATTACGACAAAACGTACATATAAATTTTATTCAATGGCCATGACCAAATTGGGGCAATTTTAGAATTTCCCTTTTATAAAAATTCCTGTCTTCATAAAATACAGTTTTCAGTGTCATTTGATGACGCTTACGTTTTTTTTCCAAGTGAAGTCGACACGCCTGTCCGTAACAGTTGCAGTGTCACTCAGATCTTTAAACAACAAAGATCTGAGGGGCACTGCCACTACGCCCGTCATCCTGAGAGAGTCTTGGTGTAGTATTAAAGTTTGACCGTTTTTAAACACATTTTTGCAATAAAAACATTTTTGAATTTTTTTCTGATGCGGCGGTTTAGCACGTAAGCGACGATTTTTGGTTCGCGGCAGAAATAGGTAAGGTAGCAGTATTTCCCTGGGTGAATTATTTCTATTCTATAAAAACTATGTTTATCAAAATCATATCCATTCAAAGAATTTTGCAAAAACCTGAAATAAGTAGCAACAGATACCAACCAACTGCAATAATTTTTGATGGCCTTTTATTTGTGTTAGTTGACTTTATCAGGTTGAAACACACCTTTACGATTTACCAGTTGTGAGCGTTTTTCAAGAACTACTCGTAATAAATTTATTATTGAATTGATATTCATTTATTTTGTGAAATTACTCCACTAGTTTGTTATAATTATTAATACCTACAAAGATAGAGAACACCCAGAAAAAATTCCTTCGATCCGGCCGGATTCGAACCGACGTCTTCTAGCATACCGTGCTAGACGCTGTACCAACTAAGCCACGGAACGAACTAGCGGACTAAAAAGTCGTTGAAAAACCAAATACAAAGACACGACAACAAGCACATAGAAAAATTCGTGAGGTCCGCTAGTTCGTTCCGTGGCTTAGTTGGTATAGCGTCTGACATGGTATGCTAGAAGACGTCGGTTCGAAGGATTTTTTTCTGAGTGAATCTTTACTCGTAATAACATAAAACTTTCCCGCCTATTCTTAAATGCACCCAAAAATATTATTTTTAAAATTACTTTTGACAACAATTATAAAAATTTGAAATAAAAAAAACGTTCTTTTTTTGTTTAAAGTTAGCCAGTGTACCGCACGGATTTTTTGGTCAACCCATTATATTTAATGCTTGTTATTTGAGAGTTCTATTTGATTTTTTTTCCTTTGTTTAGGTTGGACACAATTAAGCTTTCGCCGTTGTCTTTAAGTTGCCTACAAGAAATATAACTCCCCAACACGCATTGGATCAACATGGTCCACTAAAGATAAAAATATTTTAAAGGAGATCGGTGATTACTAGGAGGCATAACTCACTTGGCTAACGAATACTGTGGGAGATAGTGGAGGTTGGATACCGAGATTTTCCAGATACGATAAGCTCAGTCCATAAGTATCGTTGTTGACTTGCTGGTGAATCTGTGCCGATTTGCTGTTGACAAAATTACCATTGATTAGCAAATAAGTAACTAACAGACAATCGCATTAACTGGTATTTGTTTGATTACCAAGGGCATTATGGCGAGCGTTTCCAAATAAGGTTTTGTTTTCATTTTATTTTGTTTTAATTTTTTTCAATATTCCACGTTAAATTGAATTTTCAGTAATTACGGTTGATCGGAATAGGGTGTTTCAAATGAGTAGATATATCATTTGGAACACCCTATTTCGACCATTGGTAATTATGAGCCCTTTTCGGTTAATTTTGTGATTTTATGTCAAGTAGCAAGGTATTAGTCGGTTGCTTTTGATTTGCCTTGGTTTGTTTGACTAAAAAGACGCTAATTTTTAGGCTCCAGTTTCTAATAATCTCAGTACAGAGTACTAAAAAAAACCAACCTCAAAAATCATTCATCACCTGGTTTGCCACCCATAGAGGTAGGATATTTTTTCAAATTTAAATGGGACCACTTTCTCAGGTATCCTCTTTTCAACAAAAAAAATCATCAAAATCGGTTCATAAATCGCATAACAAAAAAAACATAGTCGAATTGAGAACCTCCTACTTTTTTGAAGTCGGTTAAAAATTAACTTCCTTACCATGAACACTTGAGATTTAATTTTGAACCTAAACAAGTCTGTTTCGCTTATTCGTACCATGACGTGTTACGATCGTGTCAGCAGCATTTACGCCAACGCCAAATCAAAAACTAGTAAATTGACTCCTCCTTCGGAATCTATACTATACGCTGAATGGCATTTTGCCAAAGCCGTTCAAAACTCTAATAAAAAAAATATTTGTACCATTCATTCATTTTTCGTACCATTGACATTAATGAAGAGCCAATATTGAGTTGCTGTAATGTCAAAACTGACAGATTATTGAAAAAACTATAGGAATAGTCTATGCATAATATTTCGGTGCAAGGAAAGTTACTCACTCATTGTTGTTCACCTAAATTGAGACGTTTTGCTATTCTGTCGCAATATTTCATTTACTTACTAAATAAATATTATTTCATTCTCAAAAGGGCTTATCTATTTTATTCATCTATTGTGTATCAGTTAAAACGTGTCGTAAGTGGTTGATAAAAGGTAAATACTCATCAGATCATAATATAATATAACTAACAACAAATATACGTAATATAGTAAATTATTTTACTTTTAGATGTGCGACGACGAATTAATAATAATGGAATTCCTGGAGTCAGACGTTGAAACAAATTTTGATTATCGCCAAAAAAGGCGCGACATAAGGATTCAGTCCAATCCTTTTGAATTGGACGATTCTGCTTTTATAAAAAAATATAGATTATCCAAGGAATTAGTATTGAATTTATGCGAGGAATTGAGACCGTACCTTAAAATCCCTAAAAAAACCACAGATTTATCTATAGAAACAAAGGTAAGAAATTAGAAAGTATTTATAACCATCATAGTAAATGAGGGCATTGACAGTCATTTCCAAAAATTACAAGGTAGTCTTCATTTAATTTTGTCTACTGCGAACTGGACAAAACTTTCTATTGTGGATGTGCCCATGGGAACATCTAGTATTTACCAATAGCAGCACAAAATTTAAAATTTCAGGTAAAATAAAAAATAACTACACGGACAACCTTTAACTTATTACCAGATATTACTTAAGGTAGGTTATTATTTGGTGTACACTCACACACACACTTCACAGCAAGCGAAGCTGCTACAGGTGAACACTGAAAATCAGCAATTCTGAGTCTATCCTTTTTGGCCTCATCGCTCAATTGTACTTTTTCAGTATTGTGTTTCCTATGTTTTGGGGACAAATAAATTTATCTTTTTATTTTTATTTATATTCACCACAAAAGATGAAAAGGCCTTCCACCAAGCTAGGGATTTGCCTAAAAGGTAAAAGGTAAAAATTGTACTGCATTTGTTTGTGTTGCTTTTAACAACTTATTAATAAACTTATAATAAATAGTTTTTGTTAAATACCAATCGCATTTGAGTATTTAATATAATGTAATGTTCCACATTAAATTAACTTCTATTTTAGTTATTGACTGCTTTGTCATTTTACGCCACCGGGTCATACCAACGAGCCACAGGGGACATCAGTGGCCATTCAATGGCACAACAAACAGTGTCTGCTGTAATAACTGAAATCACAGCCTGTCTTAATCGTACTGAAATAAGAAAAAAGTATATACATTTTCCTAAAAATCTTGAAGAAAGAAATAAAATAAGATCTAGGTGAGTGTCCTGCTTTTAAATACCTACTTATGACCTCGCGTTGTATTATCCAAAATATTACCTATATTTTGGTACGAGTCAGAATGGCGGGTGTATCTAACGAATCTTGACAAATTTAGTAGTAAAAAAATGTACCTACAAGGTACAATTATTTTAAGAATAGGTACTAAATAGTACAATAATTTAGATACATTTATATGGTACTTTTGTAAGATTCGTTAAGGTACACCCGCTCTTCTGGCTCTCAATAAATTTAATCTTACTTCTCAGGAACTAATCAGCAGGCCGAGTTGGCGTTTCCAGTTTAGGGTACAATTTTTTTCAAATAATAAGTTTTTATAATTATTGAACAAAAACTAGTAATTTGAGGTACACCAATTCTACCTACCTATTTTACCTTTGATATTGCTATAACTTCGTTCTGATGGAGGTAAAATTTTTTTAAGCACAGGTACTAAATAGTGCAGTTTAGGTACATTTTTTTGGTACTAAATTTGTCAGGATTCGTTAAGATACACCCGCCATTTTGACTCTCACATATTTTGTAATGTTTTTTTTTTTGTAAGGTTTCATCAGCAGTTCAAGATCCCTGGCGTACTAGGTTGCATTGGCGGCACCCACATAGCAATTATTCGGCCTACTGACAATGAAGAGACATATTACAGTCGCAAGCAGTATCATTCTTTAAACGTCCAGCTAGTAAGATTATTATGGGCTTAATAAAAATAACTGTAAGGTGGGCGCGCGCGCCGGCGCCTGTTGAGGCGGGCGCGGCGGCTCGTGCGCCGGGCGTTTATTTGCAACTTCGACGTGTGGATCTAACGGTTTTAGTCGCTTCGGCACTGTGAAAGGGAAGACGCCAAGAACCGCGCGCCCGCACCCGCCGCTGCGCCTGCGCCTTAACTCTGAATGAGTCCAAACTTGTGATTTCATAAATACGTAATTTCAGATATGTGATGCTGATATGAATATTACTAGTGTAGAAGCAAGCTATGGTGGAGCCACGCAGGACTCCTTTATATGGAATTTACATCCAATTAAACTCCACATGGATAATCTAAATGAGTGTACGTGGCTGCTTGGTAAGTTACAATTTAAAATAAAAACAATGTATGGTCTTAAGTTTTAATGCATTACTGAAATTATAACAAAGCTATAAAGGCTTCTTGCAGACCAAACCAATGGTTAGTTGTGTCGTATGAACAGCTGCCTATCACTAAATCAAGTAATTTAGTATTTTTCTTGGACCGAAAGCCTCGCACTAGACGGCTGATATTCAGTTCGGTCTAAAACTACCAATTATTGTAAATAATAAAATTAAAAGCAAATATTGAAATTGCAAGAATATCAATCACAAAATATTTTTCAGGAGACTCTGGATATCCGTTAGGAAAATATATGATGACTCCGATCATTAACGCTACTCCGGGATCACCAGCTTACCACTATACTAACTTGCATGTCCAGACAAGAAACAGTATTGAGAGAACGATTGGACTACTCAAATCACGTTTTCGTTGCCTTCTCGTACACAGGGTGTTGCATTACAAGCCAAAAATGGCAGCTTCGATTGTCATAGCTTGTGTGATTCTACATAACATATGTAACAGAGCCAACATGCCTGTGCCCGAATTAAGTAACGAAGACGTGCTTCGAGAGGCACAGATGCAGCCGAATGCGTCTCGTGTAGATAGTGGAGCTGCCACCAGTAGTAATAATCAGGCTCTTCAGCAGGGTGTGGCAACCAGAGATGCTCTTATACGTCGTCTATCGGATGCTAGTGACTGAAATTAATATCAATTAATTTCATTAATTAATAATTATTATAAAAAAATTAATATTAATACTATCGCAAAATTTTTGCAATGGACAAAACATTTCGCTTGCAAATTGTACAATTATGTCCATTCTTTAATTTAATTCAATTTTTAAATTACTTGTTTTATTTTGAGTGGAAGGCGCTTTCATTGTTGGTATTTGTTAGATTAATAACAATAAAATATATTCCTTACTTTGACCGTAATATATTTTTTATTTCTTTTATTTCCTCTAAAAGACAGCGGAGCAGTTCGCTATTTCGGCCCTCTATCTGAGCTCTCTCTTTTGAAATTTCAATGAGAGCCCGCCGTGCTGCTTCCTGAGACATAGTAGGTTCACGTCTACTTCGTCTGCGTCGAGATGTGGGAGGTGGAGTGTTTTGTTGACCAGGAGGCGAAACTGGAGGTGGAGCTGGAGTAGAGAGTGATGTTGATGGTGGTGGAGTAGTGACTGGTGGAGATGGAGCTGGAGTAGGGTGTGATGTAGATGGTGGTGAAGGGACTGGTCGAGGCAGGTTAGCGGCTGGTGGAGGCGGTGTAGCAACTGGTGAAGGTAGAGTAGCGGCTGATGAAGTTCGAGCAGTGGTTGGAGTAAGCTGTAGTTGAGGAAGTGGTAGGGGCAGCGACTTATACTCAGCCAATATACTGGCAGAGTTTATTGGTTCAGCAACTTCCATTGGCAATTTCTAAAAAAATGTTTCATGGTAAATTATTATAGTAAATATTTACGAACATGTAAATCAACTAATAAACAAATAAAAATATGGAGTTGAACTTACTTCCTCAAATGACTTAACGCGCATTCCAGCCAAGCGCGCATTATAATCTTTGTCGAGAATACGCAGAAATTTTTTTTCCATTTCCGTCAATTCTTTTAATTCTAACGGATCACCTCCAGTTTTTCTTTGTGCTGCCTTTGCATTTGCAGCCAACTTTTTTAGTTTGGATTTATAATCGACCCAATACTAAAAAAAACAACAACATAATGATGTACCGATTCCATGCAAACAGGACTGGTGCTACCTTAAAAAATATAAAATAGAGTAAAAAGGCTCTATAGTGTTAAAAAATACAGCCCATAGCATCCTCTATCAAACTTTTTGTTGTTATTGTGTATCCTTCTCCAGCTTTTTACAGTCCTATCTGGGTTTCTGACGTTGTCGGCATTGGAACCTAATTTTATAATATAGAAAAGGTAGGATATATTTGATGGTAAATAGTTACTTTTAATTTAACAATGGTGTCTACCCTTAACCTAGTAGTTTCTAAGACGAAATGACATAAAATTATGTCTGGTATGTCTTCATCTTTAAAATAACGAACAATCTAACTGCAATTTTCTAATAATTATGTTTTCAAACAAACTTCCAGAGTTGATAGTGATACTTCATAGTCCTAGTTTTTCGTTATTGGATGTTGTCCACTCACACTTAAAAATGTGTTTCACAAAAAGTGACTTTACAGTGTGAATGCACGGTTTTTATGTTACATACTTTGCACCACCCTCTCCAATCTTTAACAGCTCCATCTTCATGCGAGTTTAGTGCCTCTTCGATTTTGATCCACATTCTTTTTGCATACTCTCGCGCTTGAGTAGATTTGTTGTACCCAGTGGCAATAGATTTATTTTTTATTAAAAATTCCCACAGGGTCTCCTGCTGCGTTAACGTAACTCTACGGCGGGTGTGAAGTTCACTGCAATAAGATAATTACTTCAACATAAATGCATTCCTATTACAACTCGAAGTTAAGTTCAATAATAGACTCAAATGTAACATATTACTAGAAGTTATATTTAGTAAATATGTAACTACTTACATCATTTTTACAATACTGAATAACTTGCACACAATTTTTAAATTACACTTACGGTGGTAAACTAGCCAGTGTTGCCAGAGCAATTGAGATATTTTTACTCGTTTTTTTAATCAATTATTCTAAATGCAAACGGAATGTAATTGGATACGTCCAAAATCTTAAAAATTTTAAAAAGTAACTAAGGTCAAGAAAAAATCCTGTTTTAACCAATAATTGGTTTATTTACATATTACGCGTGAAGATTAAAAGTTACGCAAAATGTTAATAATGTAAGCACCTGGAAACACTGGAACTGACACGAACGAATAGCTGACATGGCACATTTACATTAAGTTATCAGGCCACCCCCGCTTAGCAAGCTACTCGGTGTAAAAGTGAGTCGTCTGACGACGGTAGAAGAAGTCGGCTGAAGGGACTGGGTGCGTCGCCTTCGGTAAGGCAAAGCGGTCTGCCGAGAGTCGCCAGACGCTCGGTGTAAATGCGCCATCAGTGTTAAATAAGCACAGACTACATAGAGAACTATCCACAAAAAAACATGTCTTTGTGTAAAAATACACGTATCTTAAGAAAGAAAATTACGTTTAAAAACTTTGCAATACGATCTAAAAGTCAATGGACCAGTGACAACGTTCATTTATTCGCGAGTTAGCGGTTAAAATGCGATTCAGTTTAACTAGGTCATGATCATGGCACGAATTTTAACGATTCAGTTTAGGCACCTAAATTGAACTGCATCAGAATTGACACGTTTTAGTAAAGTTCATGGTAAGGCCCCGGTCTGTTATAGGTAAACTTACATAATGTACCTAGCTATATTGACATTATTTTTATTTTAGAACGAAATTGTTGAAGAAAGTCTCTTCTTGAAAAGAATTTCTTATAAATAAAAATATTTGTACCTACCTAGTAGGTCTCAATTGTATATCTTTCAGTTTATAATTGAGTTTTTGATGGCCTGAAAATAAAACAGTCATTAATATAAGTCACACAATTCAGTACACAAATACGTTCGAAAGATTGTAAAGGCTAAATGAGAATCTTCTAAAGACTGAGAATAAAGAATGAGAGTGTTAATATGGATGCATTACTTTAAGAATAGATAAGAGCCAGTGAGTGAATATGAAGGAAATTTGATATGAAATCAGCCTCCAAAATTTGTTTGGACAATCCATTTTTTTGCATTTCAGTAATTTTGTGCTAAAAGGTTTTGAGAATCTAGTAATACATCTTAATTTTTCCAATTATGGTTTCCTACCTGTATGTACAAGACCAAGAGCACGTCAACCTTGACATTTAAGACCTAAATCCAACTATATGCTGCTTACGATAAGAACGGTCCATAGTACACAGTGTCAAGCTTGAGGTGCTCTTGACTGTACAACTAAAATAATAACGTGACAACCCTACGCTTCAAGCAAGTGTATGCATTGACGCGTCATCGAACAGGTGGGAGTTGTACTACTTGTCTTTCTTCTTCAAATCCGGAATTCGAAAAAAGTAATTAATTATTCTTTGGTGGTTTTAACAACTCTATATCGCTCCTTGTAGCTGTATCTATACATGTGGAACACCTTTTTCCGACCATTGGTAATGACCACAGACACATATCTAGATAGACGCCGCAAGTGTAAGTACTTCGCGTGCCCAAAGCAGAGAACAAATAAGTAATGAGAACGGACACTCTCCGCCCCTCCTTAACCCTAAATACCGCACCACACCCTGCACATTGACTGAACGAGTACAAGGCTGTCGGCGAGCCGTTTTCGCGCTGAAACTTAAAGCTTATTTAAAGCTACATGTCCAAAATATAACATTCTAAGTGCCTTTAATATATTTTTTAAACAAATCTTCAATATTATTCTAGTCAGTAAATTAATAAAAAATATATTATATCGATATAAATACGTAATGAACATGTGTAATTATTAGGATTATATAATAGAATTATAGATAACAGATTCGCGTTAGAATTTTCACTATGTTGCCGCTCTGACCACGTAACGTAATAGTACGAGCAAGTGATGGGTAGGTAACCCTGCCACTTCACGCACACATTCGCGCGTGTGCAGATAGCGCCTTGCTGTATGTAGCAGTAGTAGGTAAATTATTTTCGACTGTTGTATGGAGTGTCCGGGGGTGTGCCCAAAGTAAGTGAAATTCGCTTACTTGCTGCTGCTACACTTCAGAACGCGCTCGACCTTTATCGTAAATAAACACCAGTTGGAAACGCGAAAAATGCATAATTATGCCATTATAAACTGCAACAGCACCATAACTGTGGGTAAATAGGTAAACAGGGACGTTTCCTTCCACGGGTAAGTGGTTTTGTAATGAAGATGCGTAATTTATTTTAAAAACAATTATTTTGGTTTTGTATGAATTTCGAGAAAATAAATATGCAACTCAGTGTATGCCTCATGGATTTGTAATACATTGCGGCTTTTACTTGGTGCGATATACTTGTGATCTTTTGTTAATACGCCATGAATATCGAACGAACGCACTTTTGCATAATGCATTCAGTTTTTATGGTACGGGCGCTTGTACATTTTTTTGGCCAAATATAACATTTAGTGATGTATACGTTAGGCAACACTGTTCTCGATTCTGATCGATTTTGAAAACAAAGGGACGAAAATTATTATGACCTTGGCAATATTACAAAAATATATAACTCTTTTGTTATAACGTTTAGTAACATTTCGTTTTTTTTTTTCAGTTTTGTGCTATCTATTATCAGTAGTATCTGTAATTTCGATAATTTTTGCAGCACGTTGCCTTGAATGTAAGAATATAGTGAGTAAATAATTACTTATTAATTATTACGAGCAATACAAAAAATATATAATGCAAAGAATTAACAGTGCGCTGTCTTTACAAAAACCTGGAGTTGGTCATAGGTATGAGTTCGTTGCTTTCGAGGACGAAAGTGGTCTAGTTTATCCCACCTAAGATGCTATTCAAATATGCAGAGTAGCAGAGTTAGAAATCCGAGAAATAATAAAAAAATAACAAAAATTTCACAATCACACGAGGCCATCATTAAGTAAACCTCTTCTGATTAATAAGATGTTACCATATTTTGTCAGTAGTAACATTTTCATTTGTCTTGCCATTCATCAATGTGATCAATTACCAACAGAAAACCATCTAGTAAAATTAATTAAGACAGTCGCAAGTTCATATACTGAGGTTCGTTTTCATTATTTAAGTTAACCGAAAAGATCTTCTATTTCAAAAGAATGTTATATAATAAGCTTGTTTTACTGGAAGGACAATAATTTTAGAATTTGAACGCCATTAAAAAGTAAAGTCTGAATTTTTTTAAAGTAAAATAAAGGACTAAGCTATCTTATTCTAGTATTTTTCTACTATATTAATATTACGACTACTTGTAATCAACAAATACTTGAAAAAAAAAATATTCTATTTAGACTCGATTAATTGAATGGAATACCCATGTTTACGCGTATTCCGTTCAATCAATCGATCGAAAAACTTTATCTCACCAAAGATGCTATCCAAATATGCAGAGTTAGAAATCCGAGAAGTCATAATCAAATCACAAAAACTTTACACGAGACCGACATTAAGGAAATCTTAGTTACTTTAGTAAGATTTTAGATATTTTATCAGCAGTAACATTTTCAGTTGTCTTGCCATTCACCAATTTGATCGATCACTGACGGAAAACCATCTAGTAAATTTAATTAAAGCAGTTGCAAGTTCATTGACGTGCGTTGTTTTCATTATTGAAGTCAATCGATAAGATCTTTTATTACAAAAAGACAGTTATATATTATAATAAACTTATATTATTTCAGGGACAATAATCTTAATATTTGAAGTTGATTAAAAATTAAAGTTTAAATTATCAAGTAATCAAATTTTTTTAATAAAGGACATGACTATCTTGTTTTGGTATTTTTCTACAATATTAATATTTCCCGGCTACTTGTAATCAACGAATACTTGAATCGATTAATTGAATGGAATACGCGTATTCCGTTCAATCTATCGATATAGCGCGGAAGGAGGTTTCCCATCACTAAATAGTTCTTGTGACGTCATGGTGGATACATGAAATGTGGCACGCTCGCTTTTCATACAAATTGCTGTACTTGCGGCGTCTATCTAGATATACGTCTGTGGTAATGACATAGGCTGCATTGAAGTGACAGTCATAGATAAGCACAATATATGGTTCTGTGGATGTAGTCGTCATTAGGGCTAGTGATTGCAACATCTTACGATATTGTATAATACAATACATTACACAACAACACAACAATATTAAATGAATAGCTGGAAGGTTGATGGAACTAACCTATGTCATATTCTGCTCTCATTGTGTACAGCTTTTGCTTGGCAAATTGCATAAACTCCTTAAATACCTGGTGACAGATTCTTGGGCTCTTGAATTCAAATAAAAATTGTCCTCTATTGATATTAGTTTCTGTACTATATATGAAAATGTCAATAATGTCCTCTTGCGTCTAAAAATAAAGAATATGTTATTATATTTATTGCAAAAAGGATTTTAATATTAGTTGACCCTTAATGCAGACTTCACAGAAGTAATTTCTGTCCAGAAATTCAATTTCCAGGTGGAAAAATTATGGGTGAAGTATGCATTTGGTGGAGCCAGCACAATTTTTTAACAATACTCACAGCACTTGTGTTTTCAATAACAAATTGTCGAATTTTATTTATATGCCACACTGGAGGCATATGTTTAATTAGCAGTACCCTGCAGTCAGCAACAAGATGTTGTGGTGGCTCTTCTTGGATTGTGTCATCTGGGTTCAATTGATCTACTGTGTATCCGTACTTTGAATCGGCTTGTGCATCTACGTACGTGTGATCATTGGTAATGTGTATAATTTCGTCAGCTTTTACAGCTGAATCAAGTTCCATCTCGTCTTTTCCTGAAATTGACTCGGGCTGCGTTTGATTTCTTCCACACTGTTCATTTGGTTCATGTTGTAGCCGAATTGGATCTGCATCTAGTTCCCATATTAGTTCAGATTTGATTTCACTAATAGTAGGTAACGAAGTTAAATTAGCTTGTTCTTGACATTGTCTAGATATTTCTTGTTTGCCTTGGTGTTTTTGTACCATTTCTGAATATTCAACCCATTCATGTGGGTTTCGTAAAACTGAAATAACATATTTTGTTTAGAATTCCAAATGTTTTAGTAGTATAACAAATTTGCATACTGCGATTGATCCAAAACGTTGTAACTAGTCCTTTCGTGTGAAAGAGTTCATCCAGAGACGTACTGCCACCTTATCTATTTCTGCCGCCAAGCGATAATATGCGCAATACTCCATTCCGGTTTTGAGGATAAGGTCCTGGTGAAATTACAAGAACTTGGGATTTGTTAACTTAAGTATCAGGGTGTCAGGCGCAGTGGCAGTGCCCCTCGATTTCAGCAATTTAAAGTTCTGAGTGGCATTGCTATGGACAGGAGTGTCGCTTACCACCAGGCGCACGAGTTGTTCATCCAGTCGCTTTGAACCATAAAAAATACCTTTTCTCCTTTGATTGGTAAAGTACTTATTTGAAAGACGTAAATACCAGTCTTCTTGGTCACAGAGCGAACTAAAAGTGTCTTAGTAAGAAGTCTTTCCTGTAGGGCTAGAACGACAGGACGCGACTAGTGCGAGAGTGACATAAAGCGCGAGATACTGCTACACAACTAGCAAATTAACCTTATAACGGTAGGGGTTTAAGGCTGGAAATCTTCTAATTATTTTATAAAAGCCATTGACTTACAAATAAATGGACGACGGGTCTAATACAAAAACCACGAAAAAAATGTCCCAAGTCAACCTATTCGAAATTTAAATTGTAATGTCATCGCAGTATCGCGCTGTCAGTAGAACAAATGAAGACTAAAGCGGAGTTTGGCGCTCTGTATACGATTTTAGCGCCTTACAAGTGCGGACACTTTTTAGCGCGGACCCGACGTCCATATAATTGTAAGTCAATGATAAAAGCATTCATTATTGCAATGTACCTTAAGTAAGTACCTAGTTCTTTCTAAGAGGTTTTAGCTTACACAGCTTTTATTCTTATAATTTGGCTGTATAAATGTTATTAAACCCAAACAATATGACTACAATACAGGCTCAGAATGTGTTGTTATAAAGGTCCTCGTAAAGAGTAATTATTCTTATAAAAGTGGACAAGGTAAAAATAAGGCTATAAATCTTTTAAGAAACATTTATATAACAAATTAATACTTGTTAGCTATATTATTTTTTATAAGAATTTAAGCAATTCATCAACTAATACAGTAATTAGAAGAGTATTAAGATTGTAATTTACATAACCAAGTCAGCCCATTGAAGTGCAATGTGTGGTCGGGTTATCTACGCCTTTTCCTGTAAAAAAAAATGTATTTGCAAGAATGGAAGAGATTTAAGAGAAGTGGCGGTTTTCAAAAAATACTAGAGCTGTGCTGTAAAATCTACACCCACCACTTCTTCTGTGACGTTATCCACCAATTATTACTAACCAACACCAACAAAGGAGTTGGTGGTTCTGTACAAAATTATTTCATTTGTAATTGTGCATACATTGTTCAAAACCAACAAAGAAAAAATAAGCATTATTGAAAAGGGGACTGAACATTACTAGCACAATGGATTAACTTCTCAATTACAGAAAACAAAATATAAATTTAGTTTTACTTGATTATTACTAAGGAACCCTAAAGTCAAAATAATAATCAATACAGCAATAACATAGCAACAAGTATTGCTTTTATAAAAATATCACCTTTATAGTCCCCTTATAGACGTGTAATTTACTTTCATTCTTGTAACAGCAGTATTAAAAATATAGCACACACACAAAACAGTTCTATATCAAAGGCGTGTTGATAATACACCACAAACTATACCTTACTTTCTCATACTTTTAAATTCCCACATGGTTTTGACTTAAATAATAAACTCATGAACAGCTATTCCAGAGCAGCATTTAACAAAATTGGTTGACAAGATATTGTTTTATATGCATCACACACAAAGTAAATAATATATCTTTTTGTGAAGTCATTACACACCGGCCAAAATAATGATTGCCCATATTAACATATTCAGTTAATGCTTATACAAGGAAATTACCCTTTTCAACAATGTCAATATGACAATCATAATTTTAGCATCCTTATAAATAGCTGAGATATTGCTAATATAAGACTCCTTCCTGTGAACACCTTTAATATGGCAAATATAAGTTGCATTTACTTGTTGCCAGCGATAATAAAACTTGTATAATAATTATTTGCATGCATAAACAAACAATATGACATGTATAAGGTTGAAGCACTTAGAATTTGTGCCCAAATCCACCTTTATAAATGATAATATGGCTTTTATAAGAACACATTTTTATAAACTTCTCTCTTCTCGCGTTTCATGTCGCTCTCGCGCAAGTCGTGCAAGCCTCATTGGTGTGAGCCCAGGGTCTACACTAAAAATAAAGAGTTGTAGCACCGACTGAGATTGGCGTATTTGAGATTTTGCGGTTTTGGACTGGTTTTCCGTCCCCCGTCGATGCGCGCGTAGTCATTGGAGGGCGCTACAGGGTCCACACAGGTCGCATCCAACACTACTCTAATGGACAAATTTACGAACCACGGATAATTTCCTGACATTTCACAGATGAGAGTGCCTTCAATGACTGTGGACTGTATTCTTCTGTTTTTATCTGCCCCTCGTCAAGGGTTTCTTCTTTAATCATCACGTCAAACACGTACATGACTTAAAATAAGATGGACTTTTATTTATAATAATACAAAATTATTGGACATACAAATTATTGTAGTTTAGTTTACTTACTATTAGCGATCCTTTGTCGATGTTATAATGCGGAAACAAGAAACCTACACTGTTCAAGCTTATTTTATAATCACGACACAAATAGCGTCGTTTGTAATGCCAAATTATTAGTATTATATACCGACTTCTTTTTAGAAGGCGGTGCCCTTTTCGGATTCCGCCAGTTTCAAGTATTCATTTAACGAACAAGTTGTTGAGACGTTTAATAGAATAATTATTTTCATAGGGCGACCAAAAATGCTTCGCGACGAATACTTTTTTCTAGTCTCTCCACAGACAGTGTAATATATATCTTTTTTTTTATTAATAATTTTGGCTTGGATACAAGTTTTTTGAGCCATGTCTTCGTTTAATTGTTTCTGTAAATATGGCCGCGACAAAGAGGGCAGGCAACTTGAGGCGGCGTGGTTGGATTGACTCGGGATTCCTGAACGGACCGATACGGGTATTTTAGTTCGAGATTCGTATAAATAATTTGGCGTTTAAATCTTTGATTAAGGCACAATAGCACTATCCTATTCCACTTTAAACTAGATTTCACAAAATAATTGAGTCAAAATAAAAACGACACTTTTCCCTCCAAAAGGCCCAGAGCGAATCTAAATATAATATCCGTCGCCTGACCCAAGTAGAGATGGGAAAAACTGCTTATTTTATTAAACGTTTAAATGTCATACTTTTTTTTAACGCTTTTTAGTTTGAAGCTAACAAAATCGTTTAGAAAACGTTTAAGCGCATAGACTTTGTTTAAAAAAAGCGTGCCACGTTATGTTGAATTAATTTGTTTAGGAAACATACATGGCGCGACTTGAAACTTAGGCACGGCGTAAAAAATGAAATTATTGAGTATCTATAAAACTGGCCAGTGACCAACGCTTACGCTTAAAATGGAAAGCGTTCTTATGCGCTTATTTTAAAATGCAGACTTTTTAAAGTGCTTTTCGTTTAAGTCCACCACTAGACCTACACTCTTTTTTTTTTACTTAAAATGGCGGACTTATTCCTATAATTCCTCCCTCAAAATTCGCATTTAGAAAATGTATGAAAAAATCTATTGATAGAAAACCAGCGCATGCTCTGATGCCGGATGTTCCTAACTCTTGTCTTCTAACTTATTTATATTTACTTGTAGCTTTGTATGTATACATGTATCACACGTGTATTGTAAATGTATAGTGTGGCATAAAGCAGAGGATACATAGAGCATGTACCATTTCCTTAGGTCTCAGCCAACGTTGAAAGAGGAACGACTGAAAATCAGCGTCTGTCTCGCCCGAGATAGACATATTGCTGAGTCGTATCCTTTTCTTCTTTTGCGCCACTGTACACACTTACTAATTTAAAATCACGCAGCCATTTGTTGTTTTAGTGTTAAGTATTAGATTTAAGTGCGTATAGTGTCTCAATTTCTTTTTTTTCCATCCTCTAAGTACACACTACACGGCCCGGCCAATTAAAATGACCTTGTCGTGACGTTTTGGTTTCTGTCCAAAAAGGACAGTTTATCCGTCTGCTGTTTAATTCGTAGACATATTATTATTTTTCTCTATAGAAAGGCAAAGGACACTAAATCCATACAGCTATTTTTAATTCATTGTGAATTCATAATGCCTAAATTCTGGCAACACATTGTCAGAATTTGTTCATTAAAGGTGGAGAATCTGTCGTCGCAGCTCCCGATTGATCAATTTAAGATCATATAGCGTAACACGATAAATTGCGGTAATATATCGTCAGAATTTGTGCATTGTGAATCCACCTTTATTAGACTAATATGTAGGACATGTTTAGTGTTGCGCATGTGGCGGGTCATTTTTTTTTATTCGGTTCACAAAACTGGATACAATTCAAATTTCAGATAAAAGTGTTTGGTTGATATTACGTTACAAGAAGAATGTACCCTACTAGACGTGAACACAGCATGCGAATTGAGAAAATAAATGCTTAAATAATAATATTAATTAAATTACAGTGATTATACACTCACTCATCATGGAAAAATTCCCATTTTGCTAAATAAATATTTTACCGAATATTATTCGCATATTTTCCACATTTTGACTGAACGAAAACGATAATTTTTTACCAGATTCTTTTTTCGCTGTTGTCCAATCATTTTATATCTCATTTTACTTTTATTTTTTTCGTCCTCTAAGCATTTTAGTCGAACTTCTAAACCTTAGAGGATGGAAAAAAATGAAAACGTAGAATATAAGCCTACGAATTTTATTTTTAATGAGTAAAAAGCAAGCGGCTTGATTTTAGTCCCGGCGCGTCATATAGGTATGTCATTTATTTATTTATTACTTTTAAAAAATATTAGCAAAATAATATAATTTCATTACCTACATAAAACTCCAAATGAAATAAAATGATTTCAATCACTTTTCTTCTGTATGCGGAAACTGATGAAACTTAAGATTTTGCGAGATGATGATGATAAGCAGTCTCTTCACAGCAGTCTTTTTCACATGTGGTATGTACAGTCGCGTGCAATAAAATGTATACGTTCACTTATTTATGTGGTTCAAACCAGCTAACAAGCTGAGAAATCTAATCTAAATAATAATAATAATTGAAATATTTATTTATTGCATTTCATACGGTTAAGTTATTGAACAACATTATATTAATAATAGGCCACGGGAAGGGCAAGAGTCTAAAATTGATAATAATAATTTATACTAATAATAGTTTAGTCTGTATTAAATCTCGAATTACAATAATAATTAACTCTAGGCCATGGAAGAGGCGAGAGTCTGAAATGGATATCGAAAATAATAATAAAATTCATGAGATAGCGCTATAATGTTACAAACTATCACTTTCCTTCATGGCTTTGAGGTTTCTTACGTTAAAAATTGTTCTTTAATTACGATAAAAAAAGCACCAGGAGAGTACAATTTTCACTGATTGTAGTTTTTTTACTTTTCTCTGAAATAAAAGTATACAATTTTTAAAACGTTGTCGTGATTACAAGTTTTTGAAAACAGCACAAGGTTACATATTTTTGAAATATCTAATTTTTACATATTTTCGAAAATAAGTGAACGTATACATTTCATTGCAAGCGACTGTACCATTTTCCACTCACCAAATCACTAAAACAGTCACACGAAGTATTTAACGTAAATGCCACAACCTCCGATTGTATTAGCGTGTGTATTAGCTGCTCGGGCTTGCACCAGCTCCTCACTCGCCCCGCACAATTGCTCTGTCTAGACGTGTCCGTTGGCCGACTGTAGGAATTATTGGTTCGACCGTGCCTATACGATCGAGCGCACGGTATCCGAGAGCACTCGGCTTTAGTGGGAATTGTAAATAATTAAGACATTTCGCAGGATATTAGTCGCGTTTCGATAATACCGACCAGTGTTAGCGGATCTTTAATAAGACTGCAAGCGTGTGGAATTAGGTATATATTATAGTAGTATGTAGAACAAATGGCCGTTATATCGCATGTATTGGGAAAAAGATATTGTCTTTGACTATACCGCCTATTTTCAATAATGACCGGGTAGACTAGGCCACAGGTTAATTTAGCGCTATACCTAAATGTCGTTAAGTACAATTTTTGAAGGAAAAATGTTAACTGTTATACAGAGTTGCACAAATACTAGCGGCATACATAGATAGTATTTGGAATTGCATTATAATGTAATATTTAATTTAACTGCCTCCGTGGCCGAACAGTTACCATGCTGGACTGCTACGCAGAGGTCCCGTGGTCATTCCCGGGTCGGGAGCAATATTTGTATGACCTGCATTTATTTCTCTCGTGAGTTTGGGTGTAATTTGTGGTTGTGTATGTGTGTGTCCATGGCACCCGCGACACAGGGTTTCCCTAGTGCGGGGCTATGTTGAGTGTGTGCGTTATTATTATAAAAAAAGTGATACCGGGAAATGAGAGATAGACACTCTGCCTTGACACCGATGAAAGTGCATTATAATGATTAACTATGAACTTGAGGTCTGATAAAAAAAGAATTAAAAGCGTTTATTCCTATAATTAGATTGTCGTAAAATTAGTAAACTTATTTTTAAGTAAATTAAAACAACAATTAGTACCTGTGGATGGTACTCGTGTATAACAAGTCGCCGATCGCCGTTTCATGCACGTTGGTATTTTCATACCTGTTTAATTGCATTCGAATACTTTGTATCAGTGACTTATTCATTCATTAACTCATTCACTTGCGTTTTTCGCTTGTTTGCGTGACTCGCTTCGCGCATACGCAAAAATGTGGCGCGTACGGGCAGGCAGGACTGTTTACGAGTCACTTGCTTGCCTTGCTGCGCATTAGTTTGATATCTAGCAAGCCTGATATTTCCACGCAGGCAACAGGGAACGTTTGCGGAGGACAGCACTACTAACCAATCACAGAGCAGCAGCCAGTTCGAGAAGGCAGATTTCTACGCCGTGTACCCAGCCAACGCAAGCAAACGAAAAACGCAAGATAAAGACTATCGTAAAGGCATTAGATATCGAAATCTGTCATGCTAAAGGAAAGCGTGGGATATTTATGTCAGTTCGAAGAGTGCAACAAAAACATAGTGGACTATTATTTAGTTATTTTTGGGTAAACATAGTTTCAGCTGATTTTGATTGCCTCTCCCGATCGGACACTGCGGGTCGTATTCTAGAATTCTATTCAATGCTCAAGTCAGGATTGCACTGGCAACACAAGCACTGGAAATACGACTCTTCGAGTGCTTTAAACCATACTCAAATCCTGACTTGAGCATTGAGTTGAGTTCTAGAATACGACCCTGAGTCTCTTCCGAGTCGAGGCGCATAACTGCGATTTACAACTGGCTCACAAGTTGATTTAACTCACAAATTAGAAAGATATATTAGGAATCAGGTTCATCTTCTCGCTCGGAAACCCATCCGATTTCGAGACTATATTATTTTTCAACACAACCATGTATTTATTTCTGCGATGTTTTACTACTAAAACTCCCATACGCTTTCTACTTAAAGTGGGTAAGACTTCGATATTAAGTTCACCAATTTATGTGTGCATAATCTTATTAAAAATATCCGAACGTAATGTCATAGAAATGTAAATACCGGTGCCGTTATAGTATAAACTAAATTTAAACCGTAATAAAACTCCTTAAAAAAGCAAATCTTCAATCTTCTTTGGCAGCTGCGTACTGTAAAAGACAATTAAAATAATATTTTGATTAGGTATATCGAGTCACAAATCCATAATGCTGTTGCATTGTTTATGTTTGTTGCTAAAATAAAAATAACGCACAATTTATACTCCACGCGGTCTATAACGAGCGTTATTTTGGAAATTAATATAAACAAAATATGCAACTCGATATATACAAGCTTTTTGTCGCATTTTGTAACAAAAAAAACATTAATCCAGAAATTCACAACAATTCTGCACTCGCTCCCCGTCCGAAACAAACCCTGTCAAATAAGTAATTTTCGACAAAACTAAAAAACAATGTTAAGTATGGAGATTCTTTCACATCATGCGTTTTTTAAATTGGTAGAGTATTACTTATTTGACATTATAATTGTTTCGGACGGATTTCGGAGAGAGAACGAGAGTTCAGGGCTTGAATCGTAAAATCTATATTGTTCTGTTAGGTATTATAATTATTCAGACTCTTGTCTGTATAATTAGAATACCTAACAGAACGGTACTATTTGGAGCGGCTCAAACGTGTATCTTATGATAGATACAATATATTCTATTTTCATACAATTGCCGTAGCCGCAACCGTCGCCAGTGATCGACTGCCTAACCAGCATCAGTGATCAACTGCCGTAACCGGCGACTGTGTCCGGTTGTCGCAACTGGTGATTGGTTGATTTCATATTAACTGTATGAAAATATAATATTTTTAGCGTTGTAGTTACCGGTTGCTTATATCCAATACAATCAACACTTTTGCGCAGCATCATTCTGTACATTATTTCTCTTCCACTAGAGAAACAATGTTGAACTTTTTCCAAATCTTCAATTCAACCAACATGCACATTAACTACTGCACATTTAGTAGTGATAGTGCAGATTTTCAAATCTTTCTCCAAACATTCATCATCTTAATTTCAAAGTAAATGCGGCGGTAACCACCGCATACAAAAACTTTAGTAGCAGCACATCATCACAGCGTTTTGTTGCGACCACTTCACAACTATAGATTCGCTTTTGACATAAAAAACGAATAGCAAACTACGTTCATTTCGTCTCGAATTACAAACTCAAAAACACTTTGTTATTGTTATTGATACAGCGCAAAGAAATATTCCCTCGATCCGACTGGACTGGAAACTTATCAACTTAACTGCGGCACCAGTCAGCAGATGTTACGAATTCTATATGCTTGTTGTAGATCTTCGTGTTGGGTTTAAAAGGCTTTTTACACCAGCGCCACTCGTGAGAAACTTATGAAACTTTCTTCACTCAATCTTCACAGCTGACGGTAGATGTCGCTAAATTAATTGCAATATCTATATTATTTCTGACGCTGGGGGACTACTCTCGTCTGCCTACCAACTAGCCACCTTGGATTCAATAGACAAGCATGCTAAGAGCCTCTTATACCTATAAAATACTCGGAATTAGTAGAGGCGAGCCTTGAACACCGCCGTAGAGTTGGCAGCTTATCGGTATTCTACAGGATATATCACGGAGGGTGTGTGATGGAATTGCAAAATTTTATTCCGCCTTCCCTTTTCCATCATCGAGGGATTAGACGTGGGCTGGAGTTCCACTCCTGTTGTGTATATTCCCAGGATTTCCACGAAGCGTTTCGTTTCCACATTTATATGGCGAGCGGCTAGGGAGTGGAATTCCCTGCCTGCAGACTTGTTCCCCGAACGCTGTAACTTGGACCTTTTCATGGCGAGAGTGAATAGGCATTATTTAGGTGTGCATGCTACATCCTCGAGCTCATTATCACTTTCTATCAAGTGAGATGGAGCTTCGAGCCCAGTCAGACCGAAAGAATTTGCTTTGTGTTGTTCCATCTATGTATCAATAATAACAAACTAGTCTGCTTTGTTTGAAGATGGTGTAAAATGATTGTTCATTGCGCAAGCGTTGCCCGTTTGCAAATAGCTAGTGATTGCAGTCGAAAAATATTATATCGACTATCGACAAAATGTTGGTTACGCTTATGAAACAAATAGCGAATCTTGTTTAATTTGAATCATCATCGGCCCATTATTCGTCCAACATGTGTGTTGGACGAATAATGGGCCTGGGCACGGGTTCATTAGATTTGTTTTTGTTTTGGATATGCATACATACACTAAATTTAGGAATATGTGCACAAATAACACAAATAGGAGACATATAAAGTTTTTCATTTGAATTTAATATACATAATCAAATCCGCCTGTTGTTACTAAAAATTGTTTTCGATACCAACAACGACTGCCTAATAAAAAATACAATAACGCAATTTTATTACTAATCGTTATAACGTAACATTCACAATCTATCGATAAATCTGTCGACAACAGCTACATGACTATTTACAATTTTACGAAAACTGGCAACCTTGCAAATGTCTTTTTAAGAATGAAGATAGAGATCTTCAAAAAAGATACGACTGTATTGGAGTATTTTCACAAAAAAATATATGAATATCACGGTAGTCATGAAATTCAATAATATAAATATCAAAATCTCCTTGTTTCATAAGTAAGCAAAGACGAGTGCATCATTTAGGCAATTATAATGCCTCTAAGCAAACATAAACGCATACGATGACCTGCTAGTACATCTTTGTAATATAAAAAGGCCTTTGTATATTACAAATTCGGTGCAAGCCGAATTTAGCAGTAACATATCTTACATATCTATTCCATTCCACTTATAAATACTCATCACCGAATATTCAAGCAGTGACAATGTTAACAGAACTAGACTTTCGCATATTTGAAATATAAACTTTATCAAAGTTCAGTTCTTTCTTAAATGCGTCCGACTAGATTTCTCCTCACTTTTATCATCCATATCAATACCACCTCTATATAGGTACTATAAATAAAGGTGAATTGATGGAAGAAAATTTGGCAGTTCTTATTAAAAGAATACTTACCAGGCAGAGACGGAATTAAATTCTTAGAAATATTTTACGTGGATAACCTGGCCGTCTACCTTGGAATGGTCGAATAATTCTGTATAACAGTGTTAAGGAAATACATTTTTGAAATACTAAACTAGTCTAAGTTGCTGAAGAGTATTGTGGAGGTAAACATCGATTTTGAACATGCAACGATAGCAAGATTGCGGGATTTAGATGTTATTTATGTCATATATACGTATGCTTAGAATAATAACGCATAGAAACCTAGTCCGCACACGCTAAGTGAGGCAAATTGAAGCGCGCCAAAAGGGCCTACACGTGCGGGCGGGCCTTCAGTGCTCAAGGTCAACTTGCACCGCGAACAGCTCCAGAATTTTAGCTAAAAATGACGAAATGTGCTGTAAATGAGTGTAAAAACAAGTCAGACAAACATAAAATAGATACTAACATCACATTCCACAAGGAAGTAGCGCGTTTCAACTTGTATTATTATATAAATATTCACTAAAACCGAAAATTATCCCACTACTAAAACTAGCCTACATGAATTTGATTTTTGCCTCACTTGTGACAGTTCGTTTGATATGAAACTATCATTCTATGCGTTATTATTCTAAGTACGTATGTATAATATCAACCAACAAGATCTATGGTACTGTTTGGGTGTTACACGGAGCTCGTACTTCAATTTCTAAATTACGTATTTTGTGAATGTTTAGTTGCTATACCTCTCGCTAACTATGAAGGAAAATGTCGTTATGAAACCTTCATGTTTCAAGGTCACAGTCTTTTCAAAATATGTTATACTGCCTCCGTGGCCGAACGGTTACCATGCCGGACTGCCACGCAGAGGTCCCAGGTTCGATTCCCGGGCCGGGAGAAATAGTTGTATGGCCTACAATTATTTCTCTCGTGAGTTTGGGTGTAATTTGTGGTTGTCCATGTGTGTGTCCATGGCACCCGCGACACAGGGTTTCCCTAGTGCGGGGCTATGTTGAGTGTGTGCGTTATTATTTATTTATTTATTATTATAGACCTTTCTTTTACACTCTAAATTTAATTTTATATTATTTGCTTTTTTATTTTTTCAGGTTCTCAATACGATTTTTTTTTTGTTGGAAAGAGGATATCTCAGTGTTGGTCCATTTATATTTGAAGAGAATATTCCACCTCTAAGGGTAGAAAACTAGGGGATGAATCCGGTTTCGCGCACATTCCGGTAACCGATTTCAATAAAATTGGCAAATAGATGTAATTCCACGAGCTTTTGACGTCGGTTTTATTGTGTTGATGCTTTTTTAATTTTAAAACTATATTAACTTGTCAAGTTTGACACTGAAGATTTAAATTCATCTCTATATTGCTGCGATAAGAATGATCCAGTGTTAAGTTCAATGTGCTCTTTACTCTAAATGTGTCTTTTTTAAATATTGGTTTTATGGCATCGGAGCAAATCCATCAAGCCGAATCTTCAACAATTTCTTCATTAATATTTTAAAATTTTTAAAAAAGGATACTGATGCAACGTTCCGCATCTGCAGAATTCTGAAATCGGACTATGGCCCGTCCTGGGCCAGTCATCTCTCCAAAGACAATTTTACCCACTTCTCGCATTTTAGCGTTTAAAGCTTCAGTGTTGACACTATTGGGAAGCTGTAAGAAAGGTCATTTTTATCATAAATAGTGTAATAATATTTTAGTAAGACGTTAACTGTTTCCCGATATGTAAATTTTGGGGTTATTCAAATTCAATTGTGAATGGGCATTTTTTTAGACTCTTTTTTTTTATACACTTTAGGAAAATTCACTCAATTAATTACTGTAGTTATACTGCATAAAGATGAGCATTTAAATGTTATTATGGTTACAAACAACGACAGTGGTGTGACAGTGTTAATGAATAATTTTATTCAGTATGAATTATTATCGCCAAAAGAAGACGTGAACCCGTATTACAAACAAAAAATGCAAAAAGGCGACTTTCACCGAAATTTTCACTAAAGATAAAATCCAGAAAAGTTATATGATTACGATAGACTGACTGTGGAAACTTTTGTCTATATTCTTGAAAATTTCAAGAAAGAATTGGAATCAGACTATAATTATGAACGAATAGCACGATTTCAAAGAATTTCTCTAAAACTGCTTAGTAATATTTATATTTTTATGGTGGATATGTTTGCTGTTCTGTATTGGTGGTCATTCAGAAAGTGTTGAAATAATTTCCTCCAACGATATCTCTAATCATCACCGATCGAAAAATAGGTGTAGATAATAAACAGGACAACACCATGACTATTCGAGCGCATATCAAACCGCTTGACAGGTATGCTGCGCTCGTGCAGGGCATATGCAAACCTCGATCAAGGCACCAAAGCCGCGCCCGCGGTGCCGACCCCTCCGCCCCTCCGCTCGCTATCGTCCAGAATGTGGCCTAACAAATTCACTGATTCTACTAATTAATACTAATTATGTAACTGTTTCAAGTTCTTACATTGGAAAACACTAGCATAAAGGCATTTTTCTTTGTGGCGTTATCTTTTTGTTTTTGTCGATCGTCTGTAGGTACCTTATCTGTAAAATGTTGAAATAAATTATTTATATTACTAAGAAAATAATGTTATGAACAGTTTCTTTTGCATCTTTGTTGTGTTAATAAACTAAGAGAAGAAAGAAAAATATATTTTTTTTTCATATGCTTACCAAGCTTCTCAGAATTGAAACTTAAATCAGGCGGATGATTTTGTCCTTCTGCAGAATATTCGACTGAACTTGTCATATTATTAGGTACCACAGAAGATTCCTTTGGACTTGAAGCGTTAAAAGTTGTTGGAGGGCCAAAATTGTTGTTGTTACCCGAATACTGATTGAAGTTTGGCGTATTCTGATCTATGTTGTGCATATTTTGCCCCAGATTTGGCATATTTTGTCCCATACATGGCATATTTTGTCCCATATTTGGTATATTTTGTCCCATATTTAGTATATTTTGCCCCATATTTGGCATATTTTGACCCATATTTGTCATATTTTGTCCCATACTTGGCATATTTGGTCCCATATTTACCTTATTTTGTCCCATATTTGGCATATTTTGCCCCATATTTAGAATATTTTGTCCCATACTCGGCATATTCTGCCCCATGCACGAAATATATTGTGCCATATTTTGTCCCATGTTTGCAATAACTTGCTCCATATTTAACCCGAACTGAGCTAAGACAGTATTTGGGTTTAAATTGGGGGTGTTACACCACATATTCGGATTTGCTTGCATGTTCTGGCTTGGAGCAGTTTGTAAAGAATTTGAACCAAATGAATAATTCGGCTGATTCGATGCATTTATGTTATTTGTTACATTACTCTGATTGACTGGATTGTTCTCTGCACGTTTAAACATATTTGCGTTATATATAGATTGGTTATGCCTGGAACTTAATTTGCCCATTTGTTGCAGCGCATCTATAATAGGTTTCACCGCTAGAGTTGCATGGATGGCTCTTAGAGGCTGTCCATTGGGCCCAAGTCCTGGCCCAATGGATTCTAGGCCAAGAGGTAGTGGTTTAGGATTATGCAACGAATCGAAACATACTTTCATTACTCGGTTGTAAAGTTTACGACCATCTAGCATAGATATTGCCTGTAATATGAACATATTAAAGATATTTTTACTGTTATTTAAGAAATATTTTACATTTGCTTTAGTGCCGTGTAAAATGTTACATGGAAATAATAGATTAGATTAGATAGATTAGAGACCTGCACAGCTTCCACTGGATGGTCAAATTCAACTACTGCATTATTGAATGATGTGGGGTTCTCTATAGTTAATTTAACATGTCTGACAGTTCCTGCTAAACTAAATACTTCTCGAACTTTCTCCACCGTAATTTGTGGAATCATCTGAAAAAAAAAAAAATTCAAATTGCAACACCCACTTTTACGTTTAAAAAAAATTAACCACGTAAGTTTTGTACCTTTGTTAAATTTTGTATCGAATACTCACATTTTCAACAAAAACTCTGTTTTTTAATGGAAGGCGAACACCTATTTTATTCAGATACTGCATATTCAATCCAAATGTGTTATTTACAGGCGGATCAGGCTTTACAAACACTGGTTTAAAATTTGGCAGAGTATCAATGTTACATAGTGGCTTGACACCCGACGGATCCTCCAGTATGACAGATGATGCTGGGTTAGGATTTTGCACATCATTCTGAGACTTTCTAATTCTAGTAAACAAAACACACTCCTTCATTTTTATAGCATATTATTACGCACATGTATTGTACTGAGAACAAAATTTACATGCAATAAATAAAAATACATTTTCAAAACACTTATTTAATACAATTGATCTATACATTTGTGAAACGTTAAGAAATTCAGAATGGGTTTCGGAAATGTATATATAATATTTTGTTATAATTATTAATACAAAGATCGAACACTCAGAAAAAATTCCTTCGATCCGGGAAAATTTCTTCGATGAGAAATCTATGATATTTCGTCACCCAGTTAGATACATTTGCTGCTACCAGTCCTGGCTAGAAATGTCGCTATTTATTGTATTTAAATTTTTATTGAATTGATGTTCAATTATTTTTATGTGAAATTACTTCAATAGTTTGTTATAATTATTAATACAAAGATCGAGCATTTAGAAAAAATTCCTTCGATTCGGCCGGATTCGAACCGACGTCTTCTAGCATACCGTGCCAGACGCAACTAGTGGAGTAATTTCACATAAAAATAATTGAATTCAATAAAAAATTAAATATTTCGTTATTTCTCTCTGAAGTTGAAGCCCTTGAACAAACCTTCGGACAAAAAGAAATTATAATAATAGTATGTTTAATATGGCAAAAGATTACTTACTGAACTTGATTCAAAAAGCCTCTCATCACTGTAAACTCTGTTCCTTTATTAAAATTTGGGTTGAGTTTGAATTGTGCAAATTCCCTTGGTATATAATCAAATTTTTGAGCTATTGCATTTCCTGAAAGAACAAAGTCAAATAATTAAATTAATTAATTGGTTATGTAATGCATGTGTCTTTGAAAATACTGTACTCTTTTAGTTAAATTCTTGTTTTTGCAAAACCTTAGAACTAAAAGAACCTTAATTCACAAAGCAGTGGTCGTTGGGTTTCAACCCACCCTCGTGGGTGAAGTTATACAGCGTGAGAAAGCTTTGGTGGATCACTGTAACGTTTACGCTGCCGTCGTATAGAGGTACTCGTATTCACATTTCAAGTCTTACCCGTTTTTATTCTTATAAGACGAATAAAAAAATAATGTTGAATATTTGACTGACCTTTATCTTTGACAACTATGATTGGTGGCTCAAAGTTCTTTCGCAGGAGACGAAAGACATTACTGCATTCCACAGGATTAGCACATTGAATAAGAATCTCACCAATAAGCGAACGGTTTACATCTCTAGGTGCGTAAAAGAATACTGAATATTTTGTTGCATTACCCTGGAAAGAATTGATTAACATTATCATTTCAAAAATATATAAATATTGCATTGTTTACTGTGTTCAATCCACCACTAGGCAGTCAGCAACTCTATCTTCAACAGAGTCTTGTAATTAGAGGCAAGATATATTGAGGTCAGCACACTTTTAAGAAATTCAGGGTCGTATTCCAGAACTCTACTCAATGTTCAAGTCAGCATTTGAGCAGACTTGAGTATGATTAGAAGCACTGGATATATGACCCTAATGGCAAGGACTTGAGTATGATTTTCAGTGCTCACTGCAATACTCATGTCCTGACTTGAGTTTTGAGTAGAGTTCTGGAATACAACCTTTAGTCCCTTGACTTTTGTACTTTGTTCCGGTTAAATTCTCTTAAATAAGGTTAGGTTAAATCTACCACGGCTTTTACACAATTCAATTGTGTAACAAGTTGGAAAACACTACACTAGATGGAATGTGCCCCCTTTGTGACTTTAAACGTTAAATTACATCTATGGTCAGGTCAGGTAACAGACGCATGTATGTTGTACAATGTTCTGTTGGCAAGGAGCGCCTAAAAATCTATACTTCTATATTGCGGCCTATCACTATAAGGCGGAGCACCTTAAACAAGCAGTATAATTATACAACCTGCATTCACCTTTGAGTATTACAAGACCAATAAAAACTAGGGTTTTAAAAATTAGTATTATATAAGTAATACTTACTATAGCCTGCAGTATCATCTTTCTATATTTACCTAAACCGTAGCCTGAGGGTAGATTTGATATACAAAGCATTGTACAAGGTGAATGTTTTGTTTTATGAAATTGTCTTGCAGGTGCACGATTAGAAGTTTCTGATGTTGCAACATCAACATCATCATCTGAATCATAAATTTCAATTTGTTCAGCTTTTAAGGACTGATCAAGCTCCACTATTTGAACATCTAAACTGCTCGATTCTTCTTTTATATGAAGAGGTTCCTGTTTAACAATATTTTCCTTGTGTTTAGTTTCAGTGTCTTCTCGGGCATCTATTACATTAGTAGTAGAGTTGTCTACAGATTTCATCATGATTGGTGAACGGGATCTACTTCGTTCTTTTTTCTCCATTTTGTGGGCTGAAATAAAAATTTCAATTAATTATTTTTGTTTGGTCATATTCATGTACTAATGTGCATGGGTCCTGATGGCGCATTCACCGTATGTTGACATGCTGTCTTCACTTGCTCGCCAACGACAACCTACTCAGTGTAAACACTGAGACGTTTGACAACCATTGTTTGCTGCCAAAGTTGCCCGAGTCATAGTCTTAGTGAAGAATATAAAATGGAAGACTGCAGGAGTCACGAAAGCTTACTTTTCTGTGTATTGAATCTGATGCCATGTTTCATGCAACTTCCATAGAAATAAATGTGCCGATTAACCAAACTGATGATCAATCAAATTGATGACATCCTAAGAAATGGCTAGGCTAGGAGTATTCTCAAGTAACGAGCACGTATGGAAGTATTTATGACTGTTGATGAGGAGAAAGAGAAAGAAGAAAAAGAGGAGAAGAGAAGAAGAAAAAATAAAAATAAAAGAATTACTAATTGACAAATGTCACTATAGATAGTCTGACACTACATATTATACTATATGTACTGTCAGACCTTATATAAGTGTAGTCTGTAGGTTATAATTAGCAAGGGTTCAATATAATGATAATTGTTTAGAGTTATGTATAAATTTTTAAGATACTGTAGTGCAACAAAAATGTTTTTGTTAGCATGTATGGACGGGTTTACTGCTATGCTTAGAGAGAGGGTTTCTTCACTTAGACAGAGTGCTAGGTAGCGTCGTGGCTGCTATGTCTCGTCCATACAGTGGATGTTAGTTATAAAAGTAATGTTATTTATTGCATGTTTAAACCTCTTAATGTTATTTAATTCCTAATTCTTAATTTTGTCATTATATGGATTTATGTTTGAAATGTTTATTATTATTATTACAGCAAGTGGAAGACTATGTGTGATGTATGGTTAAATTATTGTTAATTATATATTCTTTTTATTATTTTATTTATTTATTACATTTAAAGCACTTAAAACATTCCAGTATAACATAAACTTAACATAAATAATACTGAATAATAATTTAAAAAATTGTATAGTTGTTTTTGGGCCCTCGTTGCTTTTAAGCCCTAAGATCTTAGGGACAAGGAGGTGACTGAAAAATAGTGCTGTCTGCGAAAACAACAATTTCAAGCCGCACAAGCTGATACACGTCCTTTTGCCCTCTGACATGTTTGGCGTACAATTTATCATTTGTTTATGTTTTGGCTTAACAAGTTATTTTTGTCTAAAAAGTGTCATTGTGGCAATAAAGGATTTTTGTATTTCTGTTAGTATTTAATTAAGTTTTGCCATATACTGGTAATTCATTGCACAAAAACATTTCTATGTGTAGCGTGTGCGTTGCCATTCCTCTTAGTGGGCGTGAGTCGTTAACATCGTGTATATACCCAGAAATAGAGGCGAAATGTCATTTAATTTGTTTGAAAACTATTCTGCCATATCATAACTGTGACAACTGCGCTCCGATTGGCTAGCCCGAGTTCGAAACAATTGACGGGCGTCGTCAACTGTTTCACTTCAAATCCACCAGTTAACTTGAGCTTTGCTATAATGGACGAAAAGGGTAAAATTACATATTTAATATTTAATTACCGATCAAATTTGATTCCCTTTGTTTTGTAATTAGATGTTTTGCTATTTTTCCCACACCACCGAATAGAACAGCACGGCATTGTTAGAGATATTATCTTTATTACAATAAATACAGAATATATTTTGGAACATACGGAGACGTACACACAGGTTAGTAGTTGGCCTGTCTATATTTCAGTGCAAACGAGAGTTGATATTTACAAGCGCTGCATCGCTAATGTGTTACCAGGAATATACGCCCCTTACTTTGTCTCTATTTCTGGTTATATACTCGATGGTCGTTAATAAGGGGTGTCACTACACCTTGATCTTTGTATGTATATCCCACCCCTGAACATAAGTCTATTCCAATAAAAGGTTGTGAATCAAATATTAAAGTATTGACTTTAAAATTCAATTTAAAGTTAGTGCCTATGCATGTTGTTAGTTAAAATTAGATAGGTATAATAATTATTTATTTCATTTCAAGTATAAATTTTTTTGGTTAGTTCTTCTCAAAAGTAATTTTCTAATTTAGGTTTGATGTTTTTACAATTTAATGATATATTTATTTCTTTCCAGGGTTAATACCTTTAGTTTATCGAGTTCTCAGGTTTTCGCGATTGTTACACATAGGAAATGAAACTATTTTTTTCGGATTTAAATCGCCTATATTTGTTTTTTCAAACAAACTGACGTTTCGGGCCCTTTACAGGTTCCATGGTCACGTTTGACTCTTAAATTGCATATATTTGTTTTTTCAAACAAACCAACGTTTCAACTGTGACCATGGGACCTGTAAAGGGCCCGAAACGTCGGTTTGTTTGAAAAAACAAATATACGCGATTTAAATCCGGAAAAATAGTTTCATTTCCTATAAAACACGCGTATATTTGTTCTTTTTTCAAATAAACCAATGTATCGGGCCCTTCACAGTTGAAAATTCGATAATACAGTATCAACAATTTATTATTATAGACATTTCGCGTCTTTATTTCACCACTGTAGGTAGATTGTAAACTTTTATCAAAAAAGTGTTCCGGCAAATAGCATATATATAAATTTTTCATGTATCAGTATCAGTTATCTTCAACTATTTTTTATTATTTTTCTTCTTCTTTTAAAAGCTCCATCGAAATAAACGATGATTTTTTATTATTATGAATTATGTCTTTAACTATTTGTGTTAGCCCATAATCCGACACGATAGTCCAAAGCGGGGTGAGGATTGCACGACATGTTTTGCAAGGCATGTAAATCTTCGACACGACATGAAAAATTCGTTAACATTTTTGTTAATATTATCATTTTATATTAAAGTGCAGTGTTTATAGTACTTTACTAATGGGAACACTTTTTGTTGTACTTTCTTGAATTAAAGTGGAATAAACTTACCTAACATACTTAATAAGATATTGAACCACAGGTAATGAACGTTCCGTGTTTCACACAGTATTTATTTGAACTGAATAGTACTTTTGTTGAAAATAGCACAAATTGAAAATTGCGTGTGTAAGCAAACACCGCGCAAAACATTGTCAGAGAGAAAATAGATATTTAGCCGTCCGTCAATGTCAAAGTCAAAGTCAAAGTCAAAGATTATTTATTCCATAGGTAAAATAAATTTACACTTGAAAACGTTACATTTAAGCTACTGCTCGTTCACTACGCTGACCTCCCTGAGAAGAACGAACAAGAAACTCTAGGGATTGCTCTTTTCAAATAAACTTAAATGCTATGGAATACACTTTGAATCAAATTTGTGTGGATTCTGGAGCCATGTCGTCTTTCCATACATCTTTATCTAACACGTAGTCTTCAATTTTGTAATATGATTTTTCGATCAAAATATTTTTAATGTAGTTTCTAAACTTAGGAAATGATAAACTTAATATATGCTCCGGAATCTTATTGTAAAAACGTATACAGTTCCCCATAAAAGAGTTGTTTACCTTGGTTAAACGAAATCGTGGTACCATGAGTTTGGACTTAGCTCTAAGGTTAATATTATGGATATCTTCTTTCTTATTGAAATTATGTATATTTTTACGGGCATACAAAATATTTGAGTAAATGTACTGTGATGCCACAGTCATGATACCAGTCTCCTTAAACTTTTCTCTGAGAGATACCCGAGAGCCTAGACGGTACACAGAACGAATCGCTCGTTTTTGCAATACAAATATGGTTTGAATATCCGCCGCTTTACCCCACATGAGAATCCCGTAGGACATTATACTATGGAAATGTCACTTTGACTTTAAAATAAACGTCAAATTTTTTGTTTGGTACTCATTTGGTACTGGAATTATATCTTTTGAGCTATTTATGTGAAATGTAATCAATTATTATTTTGTGATGAAGTAATTGCAGTAAGATATACTTACTTTTAAAGATATAGAAAGTGTAAAAATTATCTGTTGAATTTGAACCGTAAATGTCGTGTTGGGTCATGGAAACATTTCCATTTTGAAAAAAAATCATATTTTTCAGAAAATAAATATTTTTCAGAAAATAAATATTTTTCCGGGTATTTTTCCAACATTTTTCCTTTAATTATCCACATTTTGACGTTGACTGCCGTCTGCTAACTAAAATGCGCTTAAGTGACAAAATAAGTAAGTTCCGACAAGTCGAACACGTTAATTAATTTTAATTGTTTTTAAAAGAGAATTTTGTGCGCTATATTTTGCTATTTAAAACGGATATTTGATCATTTGTCACTTAGTCGCGTTTTAATTAGTGGACGGCAGAACGTTGGAGCCAATATCAATTTTACAAACGTTGCCAATTTTTCGGAAAACGGTACACATAGGTAGTGTTAGGAAAAAAAATAATATAGAAAATTCATATTTTTCAGAAAAATAATAATTTGAATAAATTTTCCATATTTGTTATAATTATTAATACAAAGATCGAACACTCAGAAAAAAATTTCTTCGATCCGGCCGGATTCGAACCGACGTCTTGTAGCTTACCGTGCCAGACGCTATACCAACTAAGCCACGGAACGGACCAGCGGACCTCACAATTTTTTTTGTGTGCTTGCGTCGTATCTTTGTATTTCGTTTTTTTTTCAAGGACTTTGAATTTACAGTGAACAGCGACATCTCTCGCCAGGGCTGGTAACTGTACGACTAAAAAGTCGTTGAAAAAACCAAATACAAAGATAGAAATAATTTTTTCTGAATATTCGATCTTTGTATAGTGTGTGTGTGTGCGTTGTATTAATAATTATTACAAACTAGTGGAATAATTTCTTAATTAATTGAATATCAATTCAATAAAAATTTGAATTTTCCACATTTGATACTAAAGTATTTACACCTGTCACAAGTTAAAGAAACGAAAGAACGAAAACGGTGACCCCATGTCTTTTTTTACCTTTGTTTTCACTGATATCTGTTTTTAACCGACTTCAAAAAAG